TATAGCTATGTTAATAGATTAAACTCTGATTAATTAAAAAATAAAATACATTAATATAGAATTTAAAATAAATTTATAACTTATAAATTTCTTCCTATTATGTATTTTAAAGGGTATGTATGTACTGTTATGTATGTGTATATACAATTTAAAATGAACTAAAAAATGAATAATAATTTTATTTTATGGCTATGTAAAAAAATTTTTTTTACACATTAAAAAAAATATGATAATACAATTTCTTAAAAAGGTTCTCCTGTAAATCCATTTGGCTCCAGTTTGAAATCTCTTCACTCGTACTGTTTGAGAATGTTTCATATTAATTTCTGGTCATGTTTCTCAGGTGCATCTGCGTCCGTTCTCGCCTCAGTTCACCGATCCGCAGCTATACCGCTGGAACGTCTCGGGCGACGGCGTTCTCACACGCGTGACGGGAGTCCTGCTCCACATGCAGCCGGCGCAGTGCACGGACTTCCTGTTCATCCAGAAGCACCTCCTCCTGCTGGGGGTCACGGGTTCGTCACACTACCGCTTCGCTCTGGACTGGACGCAGCTTGCGCCCGGCGGAGACCCAGAGAAGGTTCGGTTCTACCGGTGTGTGTTGATGGAGCTCCAGCGCAGAGGAATCCGGCCGGTTGTGACACTGTATCACCCCAGCTACCGCTCGCCCTCACTGGGTTTGCCTGAACCTCTGCACGCTAATGGCGGATGGAGAAACGCTAGCACTGTGGAGGTGTTCGTCAGCTATGCCATGTTTTGCTATCGTGAATTTGGGGCCTTGGTGTCGACGTGGATCACCATTAACGAGCCAAACCGGTTAAATGAGGCGTATGCCGAGGAATGGCAAACAGTGGTACGTCACTTGCTATTGGCGCACGCGAAGGCCTGGCACATTTACGATGCGCAGTTTCGACGGAAACAGGGCGGGGCTGTTAGTTTGGCTCTCCATGCGGATTGGGTTGAACCGGCCAATCCATTTTTAGAATCTCACAAATCCGCCCAGCAACAGTTTTTGGAATTCGAACTGGGTCGTTTTCTCGACCCTCTGATTGGTGGAGGGAACGAGGGGCGTGGCAACACCTCCGATGATGAGAGGGCGGAGCTTAAAGGGGCGCTGGATTTCATCGCTCTTAATCACTTCACGACGTGTTTGGTGTTGCCATGGAAACAGCCGACGCTGCTGAACCAGGAGCACGGCTGCGCTCTGATGAAGGATGCCACCTGGAAGGTGTCGCACCGGGGACAGGCGCTCGTGCCCTGGGGCCTACGCAGGATGCTGGGATGGGTGAGAAATCGCTATGACGACCGCCTCCCTATCATCGTCACGGCAACAGGGGTGGACGATCAAGCAGTTCATGATGACCAGTTGAGACAGAGCTATATCAGGAGCTACCTGCAGGAGGCGCTGAAAGGTGAGCGGAGTCTGAATATTAGGGTTTTAGGGACCTATTTTAATGATCTAATGGTCTAAAGCATGGTCTAAAGCGCACGGCTCAATTGCGCTTAGGGCGTGTCCGAATCCACTTTTGCTAGTTTAACGACGGGACAAAACAGTCGGCGCGCCCGGCGCATGGTCTAAAAGGGTTGTCCTTATTCTCTTAAAGAGTAATGGGTGTGTTTTGGTCGTAACGTGCAATAAACCAATCGGAGTCTCATCTCCCATTGCCTTTAAGAGCCTGTTGCGCTCGCGCCATGGTGGATTCGCTATTTACACGGCGGAATTAGCAAGCGGAAAAACGGAGCGCTTCTCTAGTGAGGGAACGGCTCTGCTCATGCGCGTAATTCTGATACATGCAAAGACTATCCATTATGACATGTAGGCATTTTTATATTTATGTACACAATAATGATCTTTTACATTTACTCCTTTAATTTTTCATTTTTAAAAATGTGTGTGTGCTGCTGCGCGTCCCTGTGTATGTAATAAGAAAAGTGTACACGTGTTGTGCACCCGCCTATAGGCGCATATTACTAACGCACTCTTTAAATAACAAAAACAAATATTGTGCCAGACTAGGACTGTGCAAAAAATTGAATGCGATTTTTTTTGCGGTGTAGCTTGTCAGTGAACTACGGCTCTGTGTAGTAAATGCCGCTCCATCTGAAAGCACGTGCTGGAGATTTACTACTAATCACCAGAAGCGGCTTTACTGACGAGATGTGCATTAAAAATCGCATTAAATTTTTTTGCCCAGCCCTACGCCAGACTTTAGACCAGGTTTTAGTTGGTCAATGGCGCAGTCTATTTCAGTTGCTTCAAAATAGCAATGCTCCAGCAATGCGCCTGAACACACCTCGTTTTCAGACCAGCACGCCCATGAGCGCACAAATGGGCGCAAATGCATTTACTGTTTAAAAAACGTGGCGCAGGACGTGAAAATGACAACTGCGTAGCAAAAAACACTTTCGCCACACCTGGCGCCGCATTGCGCCGAGTGTATGATAGAGTCCTTAGAATTTCAGACGAATTCTTTTTTTATTATTTAAAAAAAATAATTGAAAGTCCTTTCATTATTTCATAATTTTAACTTATTGCTCTTGTTATTATTTATTTTTTTAATTATTTATTTTTATCCATTTGTTATGTGTAAAGTAAGTGCCCACTTTTAGCATTTGGTTCCACTATTATTTATTATTTTTCCACTAATTAATTTTCATAATAAGAATTTAAAAATATATTTCATTCCTTAAAATAAACCAGCCAGTTCTGATATGAATCAGAATCTGAATATATGTATAAGAATTTCAGAAGCACATTTTTGTCTTTTTAATTAAATAAATTTTTTATATTTAATTATATAGTTAGAATTAAATTTGAATATAACATGTAAATATATCATCATTTAATTAAAAGTTAGGCAATTATTTTATTGTATTATTCTTACTTTATTGTTATTGTTATTACTGTTGATATTATTATTATTATAAAAGTATTATTTTATTAATTTTTTATTTTGTTCAATTTGTTATTCAACTAAATATTAAATAAATAATTAAAAATGTTGTTATAAAAAATATATATTTTTTAATGTTATGTTATATAATATATTTAAACATCTGTTAATTAAAAGTTATTTAATTATTTTGTTGCATTATTTTTTACTTTTTTATAATTATATTTGTTATTAATACTGTTGATATTATTATTATTATATTTCATTTTTTATTATTTTATTCCATTTGCCATATATAAAGCACTACAGTAAGTGCCCACTTTTAGCACTTTTTCCATAATTTCCATGAATTTTCTTAAGCATTTTAAAACAATATTCCATTCCTTAAACCAAACCATCCAGCTCTGAGATGAATCAGAACAGAACAACATTTGATTTGAAGCAAAACAATGGCAGCTTGTTCCCTCAAATCTCTGAGATATTTTGGTCTTCATGATAATATGGGGTGTGCTCAAATATATAATCGTTAAATATAAGCAATATAAACAGCGATCCTTGCCTCATCAAAGAGCACTAATGAGCCGTGATTATGAAACATGTCCTCATTATATCTGATAACAACATTAGAGATTATAGAGCCGTGTTGCAGATTGCTAGCGCAGCACTGTGTGTTATCTAGTGTTATCTCTTCTACACGCCGTAATCAGCCGCTTACTCTGAGGTTTGACATCAGGGTCAAAGGTCGCGCCGCTGTAATTCTGTCTCAGAGCTGTTAATGAGCAACCTTTGAGACGTTATGAGCACACAGGGACACACGGGTGTCATGTGGATGCTGTATGATCCTTGAGCCCAGTGCGTCTGCTTTTATGTTATAAATAGTGCTAGTGATGATTGATCTCTTTCTGTTCGCTCCGAGCAGCTCATGAGTTGGACGCCGTCAATCTGAGAGGGTTTTATATCTGGAATCTTCAGGACCAGCATGATCTCCAGTTCGGTCTCTTCAGCTCCGCCGCTCATCACTCTCGACCCAAAGCGTCAGTCAGCGTGTACCGGGACATCATCAGCCACCGCGGCTTTCCGTCCGCCGCTGACCTGCGACCTTTAACCTGCCGGGGCGTGGACAACGGGACGAGGTGCGAGCTCTGCACACGGATCGCAGAGAACAAGCCGCTGCTGTTCTTCAGTGTGTGTGTGTCTGTCAGCGCATCCATGCTCGGCTCACTCGTCATCATCTCTGTGGTGAAGAAGAAGAGGAAGAGGAGGAGGAGGAGAACGCAGATTAACGTCAGAGTCCAGCAGAGGTTCCCTTTGATGAGGGTGGCTCAAGGAACGGGACTCCTGCGCCATTAAATGTTAAAATTAATGGAATAGTAGATAATTTACTGACTCTCAGGTCATCCAAGATTAGGATGAGTTTGTTTCTTCATCAGATTTGTAGCATTGCATCAGTGTCTCAGCAATGGATGCTCTGCAGTGAATGGGTGCCATCAGAATGAGAGTCCAAACAGCTGATAAAACAGTCCAAAACAGCTCTAAACAAATATGTGGCTGGATTTTGATGTGAGAGACAACAGGAGATGGACCTTTTTCACTGGAGGAAGCGTTATAATGGATTATGGACTCATATTTTAGCTGGAAGAAATGGTTTGATGTTAAAAACGCCTTGATGGTGGATTTATTTTCTACCACTCAGACTAGACCAGATCTTCTGAACACTAGGTGGCGCTGTCTTCAAACTTTTCTGGCACCTTCAGGACACACTGAACATGATTTCCACCAAAGTTTGTGCCAATACGTCAAAGCGGTTATATGGTGTCGTTTAAACAAAAATGAATCAAGGAACGGGACTCCTGCGCCATTAAATGTTAAAATTAATGGAATAGTAGATAATTTACTGACTCTCAGGTCATCCAAGATTAGGATGAGTTTGTTTCTTCATCAGATTTGTAGCATTGCATCAGTGTCTCAGCAATGGATGCTCTGCAGTGAATGGGTGCCATCAGAATGAGAGTCCAAACAACTGATAAAACAGTCCAAAACAGCTCTAAACAAATATGTGGCTGGATTTTGATGTGAGAGACAACAGGAGATGGACCTTTTTCACTGGAGGAAGCGTTATAATGGATTATGGACTCATATTCTAGCTGGAAAAAACGCCTTGATGGTGGATTTATTTTCTACCACTCAGACTAGACCAGATCTTCTGAACACTAGGTGGCGCTGTCTTCAAACTTTTCTGGCACCTTCAGGACACACTGAACATGATTTCCACCAAAGTTTGTGCCAATACGTTAAAGCGTTTATATGGTGTCGTTTAAACAAAAATGAACATTTGCTGAGAATTTACTGTTGTTTGGATAATGAACTTAACTCTTTCCCCGCCAGCGTTGTTTTTTTAAGTTGCCAGCAACCACCAGCATTTTTATAATTTTCACTAAAATTTCATGGCCTCCAGAATATTTTGTTGTATGAATATCTGAGCATGCAATACACCAAAATACAGAACAGAGCCTCTACTTAAAAAAATAAAAAAATAAATAAATCAGTTTTATTCTAGCTTCAAACTATTTTTTTGATCAACACTTGAATGTAGGTAAGTTTAATAAAAAAAAGCAACATTTTGATCAAAAAGCTGAGAAAATCACATTTTGATCAAAGACTACATTAGATCGTATCCAGTCATATGATCAAAGCAAAGATGCAGTAGATTGCTTCCATGAATGGGTGCCGTCAGAATGAGAGTCCAAACAGCTGATAAAAACATCTCAATAATCCACAAGTAATCCACAGCACTCCAGTCCATCAGTTAACGTCTGGAGAAGACAAAAGCTTAAACAAATCCAGCATTAACTCTTTCCCCACCAAACACTGGATATTCCGGGTTTCCGTGTTTTTACAGAAACAAGCGATCTCGTATGTATGCACATGCATCTGAAAAACAATGCAATCATCAACAATAAACAGCATATAAATGAAAACGGCCTAATGTTACCGAGTGAAATGTTGATCCCGGAAATGTTCAGGACTGTGAAGGTTTGGGGGTGTTGATGGAAGCGATCTACTGCATCTTTGCTTTGATCATATGTGTAGTGGACATAGTATAGCAAATGTCTATATATATGGTCATGAGTTGCAGTTTACTAGGCGGAACCAATTAAGCTGAACTGATTTACCGGGAGTTATAAGACAGACGCACATTCACATGGTGTATAATGCCATTTCACTCGCTAGCATTTCTAGCATACAAGCAAGCTAAAAGAATGTGAAACAATGGAAGAGTCTTTGATGTTCCCTTTGAATCCTCCTTTCTGTAAGCAGCTAATGAGGTACATTTGTGTATTTGTTTCTTTGTGTAATATTAATTGTTATATGAGTTTGGGTATGTTTGTATTTGAAGTGCGGTTGTGTTTATGATTTGTGTGATGTTAATTTGAGTTGTATCAGTGAAGATGATACTTGTGACTGTTTAAAGGAAGGAGCTACAGTAAGAACTCAATGCTCATTGCGAGCAGAGAAATAGAAGAGGAGTCACGCACGTTCCAGCAATTGAACAAGGGAAGGACATGGTTGTTGTAATACAGAGACATAACATAATTAAGTTGAAGAGCAGCACAAGAGTCAAGACCAGCTGTAAGATGGGTGCAGTTAAGTTCAACTAAAGGTACCTAAGGTGGTTAACAGCTGCAGATACTTTAATGTGCCTTTCAAAGATAAGCTGGTATTATGTATATGTTGATTGTGATTCATTATTGGCAAGTTAAGAGTGAACGTGTATTGTTTAATTGTTCAAGGGTGATTGTTACATAAGTGCCTTTTAAGACGTATATTGCCTTAAACTGTGATTATTTAATGTTAAGGCTTAAGATTTAACTTATGAAATTTTAGCTTTATTGACATAAAAAAAAAATATATAGGAAAAAGTTGAAAGAAAAAGGGAAGCAACTTAGGCAAGATGGAGAGTGTCAGCAACCGGAGACACGTGCCAACATACAGGCTTTAGTGGAGAGTAAGGAGGCAGCAGTGGAAGACGAGCCACGGAGAAGCCAGAGGTCTCGTAAGCTGACTGAAAAGGGTTAGAAGCTGCAGGAGGAGAAGATGGAAAGTTATGAACAGCGATTCAGAGCAAGTTATGAGAAGTGGAAATCTCTAATTAAAGAAGGCAAACGGTTGTTTTCTGAATGCTCCTCTAATGATTTGTTATAAGATGTCATGATAAGAATAACAAAGGTTTCTGCAGATTTATGCACGGTGTATGAAGACCTGCGTCGAACTGGTATTCCTGACCATGACACGGGTCGTAGAGTAGACACCTGTGAAGCAGTCACAAGGAAAATGGAGGACTTGGTGAAGAGTCATCTTGAAGGGAATAAAGAAGGTGAGATTTCATGGAGTGGAAAGGACACCGTATTATTAGACAAGTCCCGTGTGAACACAAGGACCTTTTTTTTTACGCAGTCTCAAAGTAAGTCAAGAGCTTCATCTAAGTATTCAGTTTTGTCTGCTGCTAAAAGACAAGAAGCTGCTGCTGAGATTGCTGCTAATGAAGCCACTTTGGAAGTTTTAAGAGAACAGGATCTGCAGTTTAAAGAACTTCAGAAACTTGAAGCTGAGGACAAGAAGCGGATAGCTGAGCAAGAAGCTGAAGGACTTGAAGTGTCGTGAAGAGGCTAAGATGGAAGCTAAGCATGAGATGGAAAATGCAGCTAGACGTACGTTATTGGAAGATAAATGCCGTGAATTGGAACGTCTTGAGACGCTCTATGGAGACGCTTATGGAATAAGTCACCAGGTTATTGTGAGACAAGTAATGTCAAGCCTACAAGCTTCTGTCCATCGTAAAACTGAGGTGCATTATGTCTGTCGAACACAAATCAAAGCAGTAGTGTCCTCAATGGACATTATTAAGGTGTTTGAATCTGATTTTAGTGAGCGAGAATAAGAAGATTATTCCATGTCTCAAGAGAATCTTCAATTTCTACCAAAATGAAAGATGGTATTCGGCTTAATGATGATGGGCATTATGAGATGCCACTACCGTTTAAAGAGGAAAGGCCTAACTTGCCAGACAATAAAGCCTGTGCAGTGCACCGTCTTAAAAGTTTGGAGCGGCGACTCAAAAGGGACGTGCAGTATTACAAGGACTACACTGCTTTCATGAATGAAACCATAGTTCGTGGAAATGCTGAGAAGGTTCAACCTGGAGAAATTGAAAAATGTTCAGCATGGTACATACCGCATCATGGAGTATACCACCCAAAAAAGTCTTGAAAGATCCGTGTTGTTTGACTGTTCCACAAGATTTCAAGGAGAATCTTTAAATGCTCATCTTCTAACTGGTCCAGAACTGACAAATACCTTGATAGGGGTTTTGTGTTGTTTTAGGAAAAATCCAATAGCGGTCATGTGTGACATAGAACATATGTTCCATCAGTTTCATGTCAAGATAGAAGACGGAGATTATCTAAGATTCTTATGGTGGGACAATGGCGATCTACAGTCTCAACCTTCAGTGTATCGAATGAAGGTTCATTTGTTTGGCGCAGCTTTTTCACCTGGTTGTGCCAATTATGGTCTTAAACCTATTGCTGCTGAAGGACGGGGAAGCGTCAGTGAAGATTCAATTAACTTTATACAAGGGAATTTTTATGTTGATGATGGATTAGTAAGTGTGCCATCTGAAACTGAAGCAATTAATCTGGTAAAGGAAGCGAAATAACTTTGTAGCACTGGAAAACTATGACTGCATAAATTCATCTCTAATAATAAGAATGTCATCGCTTCAGTTCCCCAAGAAGATCGTGCTGAAGGAGTGAAGGATTTAGACATGGCTCTGGGTGAAGTGCAAGTGGAGAGAGCGCTTGTCGTTCAATGGTGCAGTGCATCTGATGAATTTCAGTTTAGAGTCACTGTGAAGGAACATCCATTTACCCGCAGAGGAGTATTGTCTACAATAGCATCTGTATTTGATCTGCTTGGATTTGTGGCACCATTCATTCTTGTAGGTAAGAAAATCCTACAACAGTTGTGTCGTGACCAGGTTAGTTGGGATGATCCACTGCCAGGAGACTTGCAGTCTCAGTGGGAATGTTGGCTTTTAGATCTGCCAAATTTAGTTGATGTGAAGATCCCACGATGTTATGTTCCACTGACCAGTACAGAAATCAAATGTTTCGAACTCCATTTCTCTGATGCTAGCACCTTGGGCTATGGAGAATGTTTTTATCTTAGAGCAGTAAGTACATCAGGTGAAGTTCACTGCTCTTTGGTTATAGGCAAGTCAAGAGTTGCACCAACAAAGATAACTATACCGAGACTAGAGCTGTCAGCCGCAGTGGTCGCTGTAAGAGTGA